TAATCGACTAAATGGGCTAAACTCAGAAATCATGAAACGCGAATTTTAGTCGACTAAAAACTCACCTTAATCGACTACATTGTTTGCACTTTTAGTCGACTAAGCACATTATTTAGTCGACTAAATGTCGCAGATCAGGTTTTTTAAAAAACCCCCATTTCGCAAAGGGGGTTATTTTCAAACCCTAATCGACTAAATCGCTCCATTTCGTCCCCTCTCTCCAGCCAAGTCCGAATCTCAACCCTTGAAGGTGCGATTGAAGCTTCCTTGGTTCACACTTGCGAAATCGACATTTAGGTAACGTATTCTGACTTGCATTTGGTTTTAAGTTTAGTTTTTTTTTTTCTCCATGCATTTGATTTCTGTTTGCGGTTTTGTGGATTTAGGTTAGGGGTAGGGTGCTAAGTTTGTTGTGAGGGTGAGGGTTAGGGTTGATGTGGTGCCTTAGGCTTAGGGTTAGGGTTATGTTAGGGTTAGGGTTAGGGTTTATGTTGCTATTTTGTTTGGGTTGTAGTGTTAGGGCAAGGAATGGGTTTTTGTGATGTGCTAGGGTTAGGGTTAGGGTTAGGGTTAGGGTTTCTGTTTTAGGGTTAGGGTTAGGGTTTCTGTTTTCTGTTTTATTTTAGGATTAGGTTTTGTTTTTTATATTGAATTTTAAATTTTTTGATATTGTTATTGTTCATTGATTTTTGTTTCCACTTGCATTGTAGGTACAGTTGTTCCCATGGCTGGCCGTAGAAGATCGTCTAGCACTGGAAATGAGAGACGACAGAAGCTACGACAAGACCGTCCGTTGGTTCGACTAAATAACTGGTTTTGACACCCCATTCTGTTTTGCACGCATTTTTTTGGCACGGAACCGATCGAATATCAATGTACACGCATATAATGACTTGGGGAACACACTTTCAGGTACAAAATAGTATTGTACAGGATTCGTATGCGATTGGGTACGTATTCCCCCCAAACCGTTTGTTTACGCTCCCCGAAACTTGGTGATTTCATTTTTTGGTAATATTAGTATTAGTTATGAGTTTCAATCTATCAATATGGACCAATGTTAGATAATGGACTTAGAAATGAAATGTCAAATTACATAATGAGTTATACAGTAACACAAAGTAACATCAAAATTCATAACAGAATTACATGAACTCTTACAAAAGACCTTAAATACATGCACAACATTGGTTCAGCTAGGATTAATCCTCATAGGACATGTACGTTTATTGTGACCAATTTGCTTTCAGGTGCTACATCTAGTTTGACTGCTTGTGGGTTGGGACTCAACCCAATCCATTTCATTCTGTATCCTTGAAGACTTCGGTCTACCTTGTGCACGAACCAAAGATGCATTTGGGATAATAGTTGGACCATCTATTTCTGGGATCAACAACTCATTACCCATTGGAAACCAATGTGCAGCATAGACCTTCTCAATTTGTGTAATTGAGAACACAGGATCGACATAGTCATAGTGGTTCAATTTTTCAACCTTGCACACCGCTAGCACATGACTGCAAGGAAATCGTCTAGCTGTGAACCGTCCACATTGACATTTACGATTTAGCAAGTCAACCCTCATAATGTCGCCGGCATTATGCGTAGATTGATTGTAGGCATCCTCAACTTCAAACAACTGCAAGTCTCTATCAAAAACACGGACACGGAGACTGACAGTTAACTGATCATTCTTTTGTAAGAAGTCCTCAACCTTTTTTGCAATTCTCCAGCCTTTGTCCTTTACTTTTTGGATCTTTTTATGCCTCTTCACAAAATACTCTACAAGTCTACTTTGCGTCATCTTGACCAATGCCGTTACTGGCAAATTACGTGCACCCCGTAGGACCTTATTGATACACTCAGATAGGTTAGTCGTCATATGACCAAACCTTCGGCCCTCCTCATCATAAGACCTGCACCATTTCTCTTTGGGAATCTGATTTATCCATGAGGCTACTTGTGGGTTACTGTCGACAAATTCTTGAAATCTTAAATCAAAGTGAATCTTCGAACACATGTAACCTGCAAAAAATGAACCCAAATTGCAATGAGTTATACATAAACAACATTACATACAACATGTACACATTCATGTAAATAGGTTACCTAGTTTCATCAGCGTTTTCTTCAGTTCCACGTCCCTAAACTTAGTGTTGAAGTTGCTTCCAATGTGACGAAGACAAAACACGTGATACGCAAATGGAGGCTGCCAACCGGCATGATCCTTCACAGCCCTGATGATGCTGGGGTGACGATCGGATATTAGACATATACCATGCCTACGTGTGACATGGAAACGCATCTGGCTAAGAAACCACAACCAATCATCCAATCTCTCACCCGGTGGAACAATGGCAAACGCAATAGGCAGAATGAATCCATCACCATCCTGTGACGTAGCAATCAAGAGGGTACCTTTGTATTTCCCGTACAGGTGCGTGCCATCAATTTGGATTATGGGTTTACAATATTTGAAAGCCTCAATGCACTGGTGAAAAGTCCAAAATACCCTGCGAAAGACAGTCTTATCGGTGTAGACACGTCGTTCGTCACAACACTGATCTGTATCAATCTTGAACACAGAACCAGGATTTATCTGTCATGTAGGTCAGCCAACCAGGTAAGATGGCATATGATTTTTCCCAGTCCCCAAACAACTTCACAATGGCCTTCATTTTAGCCTTCCAAGCCTTCCTATAAGATATGTTGTATCCATACAAACTTTGTACCCTCTCCTGAATAAGAACTGGTTTCGTGGATGGATCTTCTTTTAACATACCTATACAAAATTCGAAGTCAACACAATCAATAAATATACCGAAAAATTAAACCATAAACAAAAATTTTGTAATACATACTTATAATGGCTGCACAGATTACATCAGAATCCAGCTGTCTATGGTCCCGAGTAAGGCCTTGGTTTAGGCAAGTGTGTTTTTTACCCCACTTACTAACAACCCAACTATTTCCATTCTTGGGCAACATAGCCCGCACGTACCAGGGACAACCATCATTATGGTGTCGACACTTCATCACAAATCTATGGTCATCACTTTTTGCCACCACAGCAGTACGATGAGACTTCATACAATATAATTTGACTGCATGTTGCATTTCAGATTTAGTTCGAAACTCCTGGTACAAATATAATGGATCCCCTAAATGCCAGCCACCGTGGATGTGATCGTCGCCATACAATATCTTTGTCTCATCATTAGGGTGAGCCCAATTAATGAACGAATAGTGTGGGCTGTCGTTCCAAAATGGCTCAATCTCAGAACCTACGTCCAAATTTAAACTTATCCGTCAGTACGAAACAAAACACAAATATATATATATATATGCAAAATTAAAACTTTAATTTACAATCTTACCACTGCTAACAGGGTCAACACGGAGCGGTGGCATAACCTGGGAACTCAAGTTTCCTGAACTAGTATCAGCGTCAAAATTCCCCTCTACGTCCGTATCTGAGGTGTCACCCAGTGGAATAACACTCTCGGGTTCACCATCGTCTTCACTGTCCATATCCTCGTCATGTTCATCCCCATCCTCGTCTATTTCCCTCAGTGGTATCTGACTTAAGACAGGTGCAGGTGCAGATAAACCGACCACTCTGTCTTCTTGACTTTGACTTCTTCCATGCACAGGTGCAGATGAAGATTGACCACAGTCTATTTCAACATATATCTCAATAAAGTTTTGAAATTTCGGTCCACAATTGCATCTATGACACAGTCCACATCTTCATCGTCACATATATCATTACCAATGTAGAATATAGCATCCTTACCAACTGTAGACTCTACCCTGGCGATCATCCGTTGAACGCCATGGCTGCCGTGTAGCCCCAATATTTGGTGAATCCTCCCCTTCAGCTCATTGTACGTAGTGCCCCGTTTGATTTTCAACATTTTCGTTTTTCCTTCAAATTGAACACCGTTGGGGCCTTCATAATGCTTTCCATCATAGTAAATCATGGTAACATACATGTTTGGACTTGAGCTCATCTTTCACACGAATTTTGGGGGTAGGAATCGGATTTTAGGGTTTTGGGTTCGGATTTGGGGGAAACAATTGAGAAATAAAGGAAAATGACAATGATTTCACAATTACTATGCCTTAGAGGTGGTGAGATGAAATGGAAGGGTGATTGGAAGGTTCACAGCTGACAAACAAGAGAAAGAGACCAAGAGAAGAGTTTTGATTTCGAATATAATGAAAATGAGACCAAGAGAGGTCTGGATATAGGGTTTTTCGCGATATTTAGTCGACTAAATAATGTGCTTAGTCGACTAAAAGTGCAAACAATGTAGTCGATTAAGGTGAGTTTTTAATCGACTAAAATTCGCGTTTCATGATTTCTGAGTTTAGCCCATTTAGTCGATTAAAAGTGCTACTTAATCGACTAAATGGGGGCAGGATGATGGATAGTTATGGGGGAGGGGCAAATTGGTTATTAATTATTTAATGAGGGGCAAAAGGGTCAAAAAGCCACATGATCTCTTTACAAATTTTTTTTAAATTTTTTTACAAACTACACTATCTTCTCCCGGGAGAACATAGTGTAATTTGTAAAAGTTTGTATTCTCTCAGAAGAATATAATGTAGTTTGTAAGAATTTGTAAGCAAAAAATTTGTAAATATAACCTGCCATTTTTAACAATGTCTTATAATATAACATAAATCTACTAAAAATTACACAAATTATGTCCTCTTGCCCTGTTGACATTCCGGGACAACATTCGTTGCGATGATCGAATGCTGTGTGGTCTATCTTCTCCACAAATAAGAATTCGAAATAATCTTTAGTTGCTCCTTTTCTCTCTCTCTCCCTCTCTCTCTCTCTCTCTCTCTCTCTCTTAACTTAAAGTTCCATAAATTTTTGAGAGTAACAAATGTGAGTATCAAACTCATACAGTGATACTAGTAGTGTTATGATATATATTATGCTATCTCTCTCATTGAATCTGGTGTTTGAAATTGTGCAGGGAAGAAAGTGGGTTGAGACCCATGGACTCTGAGCAACTGAGAGAGCATGCTCATAAGATGGTTGACTTCATTGCTGATTACTACAAAACCATCGAAGATTTCCCAGTTCTCAGCCAAGTTCAGGTTCTTCATTCTCTTTACTTCCCTTTTGTTTTCTCTAATATCACCTAAATGAATATATAATAGGGTTTTCATTTTATCCTTTTAACATAGCACAACAAACTTTCCTACTCTCACAACATTTTGTGGGACCCACACTTTTTAAAACAAAAAAATAAATAAAAAATTAAGGCACGCAAAACGAATCTCTATAACATTACACGATCACTTTTCCTACAACATAACTCTTATAAAAGTTTGTAAATGAATATATAATAACAGTGGTTGAGAAAGACAGTGAACTTCAAAGGTTGTAAATGAATATATATAACAGTGATTTTCGCTTTCTTAAAGATTTTCCCTCGGTTGCAGCCAGGTTATCTTGGGAAGCTTTTACCAGATTCTGCTCCTAATTATCCTGATTCATTGCAACATGTTTTGAATGGTGAAATTTCTTACTAATGTTTCTGAATTAACCTTTTTTTTTTATGCATTGTATTATTATTGTTATTGTTTTTCATATTTTGTATTTCATTGAATTATATGAACGATGCTAGCATGGTATTTTTCATTTATCTCTTTCACACCCAGATTTTTTATGGAGATGGCTGAAACATATGTCATATTGTAGATATACAGGAAAAGATACTACCAGGGGTGACACATTGGCAAAGTCCAAATTATTTTGCATATTTTCCTTCCAACAGTAGCATTGCTGGATTTTTAGGAGAGATGCTTAGTGCTGGTCTTAATATTGTGGGTTTCAGCTGGATAACTTCTCCTGCTGCAACTGAGCTTGAAACGATTGTTCTGGACTGGCTCGCAAAGGCGCTTGACCTGCCTGGTGATTTCTATTCTACTGGTAAGGTCTTTGGCTGCTTTATTTCTTTGATTTAATCCAATGTGGAGATATGGTACACACTATTATGTCTTTGTTCCTTTTAAGCACAAGGGAAAGGGCATGTATATTCTGTCTTGTCTTGTATCTGAAATAGAAGAGGCTGTGTTTTCAAGTGGTGTTTTAGTTGATGATTAAGAAAATAAGAGGTTAAGCTCTTACTTCTTAGTAGCTTGTGATTTCTTTTTGTTTTAAATTTTAGGATGAATCATTCTTTGTTTTGTCTTTTCATACTTCTTTAATAGGACATGGACTTCTATGTATCTCACGTGTACTTTTTCTGTCTCCTTTATGCTTTCCTTAATTGATATCTTTCCTTTTTATTAACCAACAGAATAAAAAGAGAAATAGATAAAAAGTAGAAAAATGCCACTGCTCCATAATTTAGGAATCAGAACTCTTTCGGGTAGATTTGCATTATGAATTTTCTCCCATGAGTTTGGATGAGGTTGTAAATTAATGCTTGATTTCATTAACTGCACCTTGGATGAATTTCACGTATAATAAAAACCTAAAAGGAGTATGAATAGTTTATTTGGTAGAAACTCAAATACTATGATATGTAAACCTGTGAAACATGGGATGTGATTTTATTTCAGGGCAAGGTGGTGGAGTTATACAGGGAACAGCAAGTGAAGCTGTACTGGTTGTCTTGTTGGCTGCCCGTGACAAGATCTTAAGGAGGGTTGGAAGGAGTGCCCTTCCCAAGCTTGTGATATATGCATCTGATCAAGCGCATTCTGCTTTACAAAAAGCCTGCCAGGTAGGTACCTTCAATGACAAAAAAAAGAAAAGGAAAAGGGGCTTCTTGAAATATATACTCAATAGTATATGGGTTTTCCTATTGCTCCATCTCCTTGTCAAGTTTGCTGTCATTTATTTGGCCTTGCAAAATGAAGTCAACCATCTTATGAGCATGCTCTCTCGTTGACAATTATTCATTGCTTTCTGATTTATTTTAAATACTGATCTTTTATTTTACTTTTCTTTCCTTATATTTTTGTTTATTATTATTTTATGTCATGCTCAATGAGGCTTTTTTACTTTTTGAAGCTTATACTTATCTTGATCCATATCTGTTTTTGTTATTTTATTCAGGAAAGGAACTGATTGTATTGTAACGGTTAATTTTTTTCTTAATTGTATGATTATCAAGTTCTTTAGCACTATACCTTTGAAAATGCTGGTGTTACTGTGACACTTGTTAGCATTTGATGGAAACTAAGATCACAAAGTTAAAACTTATTTAGTCTATTCTGTTGCATATAAGTAGTTAACGAATGAGTGGAGGCTTGGAGCAAACCTATTCCTCTGTATTGAAATTTAAGGGGTATTTATCACCTTGTGGCTGTATTACTATTGCATGTTTAATCAGATGATATTGATATCAAGATTCTAGTTTTTGATATTCTACTGTAGTTTAATAAAATAACTTTTCTGTCTATCCCTTGAGATGACACAAGTGGTAAACAACCTGTCTTGTATTCATGAGATGAGTCTTAGCTTTGAACCTTGCATTTTTTAAAAAGATGTCTTTATTTGTGTTGCTTAGTTGCATTCTTGAAGATTGCATTATCGTCAAAGAGATTCAATTTATGATTAATTATAAGTTTTTTACTTTTCTCCGGCAGATAGGAGGATTTGATCCAGAGCTTTGCAGGTTGCTTAAAACTGATTCTTCCACAAATTATGCGCTCTCTCCTGATGTACTTTCTGAAGCAATTTCAAGTGATATTGCCAGCGGTCTCATACCCTTTTTCTTATGTGCTACTGTAAGAATTAAAGGCTTCTGATATTAGCTTGTAACAAAAGTACTATACAATGCATTAACTTAATTGTCCAGCTTTGTCTATGTGTGTGTGTCTTTCTTTCAATATTGCTCTTTTTTTTTTTTTTTTTTATCTTACCAGTTTATTGGATTTGCATATTCTAAATTACTCAACTCATCATATCATTGGATCAAGGGATATTCATGTTTTTATAGGAGCTCTGTTTCTTCTTTTTATGTTGCTGGGGAACAGATGTGGATCTATATACTAATGACCTTATTGTGATGCAATTTTTCTTTTTGGATCTTAAATTGTACATTCAAAGAGATTTCATATTGAATATTAAGCATTTTGACTTTCACAAAGATATTAAATCTCTAGATGGTACTAAATGGATAATTAATACGGTAAACTTTTATTATGAGATGATATGATTGGAACTAATGTTGGTTTTGATTTCTTTTAATGAGTAAAGATGTATCTGAATCTTTACATCAGTGTGAGATTTTTCTAGGTTCTATTATTGGTGGATATTAAGTTTCTGGCTTTGACCCTGTACACTCTGTATTTGTGCATGCAGGTTGGTACCACTTCATCAACAGCTGTTGATCCTCTGCCTGCACTGGCAAAAATTGCTAAGGTAATACATTTCATTCAATTGGTGATAAAACTTGCTAATATAACCATTCATACATTGTAAGGAGGGTATTAACACCTAACAGTTCAAAAAAAATAAAAAATAAAAAACCAAGAGACTTATAAGCAAGGAAGCACGGACACTTCAAAGTAGTGGTCGGACCTGTGTCAAACACTTCACAGACAATTTGAATGCTCCTAGCTGCATTTCACAATTCTTTTAATTTAATTTTTTGAACTTTTATACCAAAATAGCATTTTATTGTTACTTTTAAAACATCAGTTCTCTCTCTTGATTTAAGATTAGTGTTTTTATGTTAGTTTATGTTGTACTATAGTTGTCTTGTCCTATAATTTTCAATTTTTGTCATGTCTCCATGCCCTGTCGTATCGTATTGTATCTGTGTCTCTTGTTGTCTCCATGCTTTGTAGCTCATAAGGAACTAGGAAGGCAGCTAGATAGATGAAAACCAGAAATGGTTATGCAGTAAGTTAGAAATTCAAGGATATAACAATAATTATGGAATTGCAGGAAAGAAAAATTAGAGAATGAATTTCCAATGTTTGACTAAGCCATTTTTTTACCATAATCCAACAGGTTAGGCTTTTATGATGAGTGGTTCTTGAATCTCCATCTAACAGCATAAGTGTAACACCTCGTTCTAGAACCGGTTTATTAACATTACGTACGGCATTAAGCGCAGTTACAATCACAACAATTGAATTAAAGTACGGATAAACTTTTTCCTTATTATTTATAAACGTTTTTGTTTAAAATCAATTCCGTAATTAAAACAATTCCCATAATGTGATTATAACTTAAACTATATGTAGAACCCCTATCGTAAGTTTTATTCAGATCATATGTTGCTACCATAGTGTGCCAAGTAGTCTCCTTAGACCACCAAGGCTTAAAAACTCACTTTTATTGTTATTCAACACTAAACACCTTTACTTTTTAGTTACCTAAGAAATTTTATATTACTTATATGGTCCTCATGTTCCAATATGTTATAAATCTCTTCGTTATCTACGCGTAGGTTCAAACCGCGCTCAAATCGAAACACTGTAGCCCAAGTTATGAATTTTCTACGAAACGAGTACTGAACCCACTGGGCTCGGCGCGATTAGCGCTACGAAACAGAAGCTTTCCAGACATATGGCGCGAAAGGCGCCAATCATGGCGCGAATGGTGTCGGGAATGCGTTTTTCCACTGTATCTTGGCGCGATGAGCGCCACCACGGCGCTAGTAGCGCCAAAGTTCAGGAGATTACACCTAGCCTTAGTATTTTACCCCTAACTGGAGATATACTTATCCGAATGACGCAATCTTGGTCTCGTTGGAAAGCTAAGAAAAAGATCTACAACTTCCATTAAGGCACAAGGGTCCAAATCTATCATATAGGATATGAAAAATAGGCAACAAGACATTATGTCTTTGTTTTTACATGGATTTTCATCCTAAAGGTCTTCTTTCACCTAATTAACATCATATAACCACTTCAATACATGACTATTAGTTCTTTCAAGGTACCCATTATCAAAAGAAGCATCCATGCCCTTCCATCATATATATACAATAAGCACAATATTACACAATCTCGAAATGTCTTCAATACATAACCATAAGACTTAGCTACAAAACACTATGATCAATTCCTTGGCTCCCATCAACAAAAGAGACACCAAAGGAGGTGAGCATAGGCTAAGTCCAGCAGAATAAAACATGACATACATATAATAAATGGTTTTCAAATATAAATCATATACATAGGAACTACTAAATGAAATGCATAACCAAAATGATGTAATATCCTCATGCATCAATCTAATCCAAGTATGGCCACTTGCTACCAGAGGCTCCTGCAGCATCTGTACCTGAAAGGGGGTCCCCACAACACGGGGTGAGATATATATTTACATCTCAGTAAACCAGGGGTCCTTGGAGCATCTCTCCACCCTATAGTTCACTCAGTATAATAGCAATAATCAGTAAATAATGCAGTAAATACATATCCATGCAGTGTGTAAGAACATCTCCAGGAGACATCCCTCGAGCTCTCATGCTGTCTAAGGATACTCAGATGCAAAATAGTCCTACTGGCCAGCTAAACTACTAAGTATGAATTACGCATCGTCATGCAACATACAAAACATAAGGAAACACCATCCTATGCCACACAAAATGCATTCACATACGTATAACAAAGCATTAAACTACCTTATTGCGTATATAACACTATTAATAACCACTACCCATTCAAGGCTTGGTGGAACAATTAAGGGATCAATTCCCAAGGTCCGAAGGCTTACCTCAATTGCTTCCAATCTCAACCTTTGTTCTTCACCAACTCAAGCAACCAAGCTTTACAACAATACCAACAATCAATACCAATTCAAGTGAGCTAATCAAGTTCCATGCCTTCCTCCAATGGTTGGTCCTTCAATGTTGGTCCACAAGGCTCAATCCTAGCCATTACATGGACACAATTAACATCCAACCAAACCATTGTTTACCAATGCAAGAAAATCCACAAACCAAGTATATAATCTTGCAATTTTCAAAGCATAATCAAACGACTATCTAAGTTCATTTCTACCGTTTATTTATCATTTCTAACAACTTTTACAAAGGGCTTAAGCTTAAATCAAACCCAAACTCATACCACCCACCATGACACTATTCATCATCTTCCTCAACCATGCAATGTCCATGAAAACAAGGTTCAAGGAGTGGAAACTCATCACAAATGGTTGCACAACTAAGGGTTGTTGATCTCCTAAGCTCCCATGGAAAGAACTACCATCAAACTCCTCAAATCTTCAAAGGGTCGAAATCTTTGGAGGAAGATATCTCACTCCACAATGCTTCCCACTCAAAACTAAGCTAGGATTTGCAATGAGGGAATGATTCTCTACAATTTTGGCTTTGGAATGGATGGATTTGGTGGAGAAATGGAGAAGCTAGGGTTTGAGCTTCAAATGTCACTCCCCCTCTTTTCTCTCTGTGAACCGTCGAAGGAGAAGAAGAAAATGAGAAGACTTCTTCATGTACTTTACCCAAAAGTCTGGAATATTTTTCTAGGAATATTTTCACTTCTATTTTTATATTTTAGGTACTTTTGCCTACACCCATTTTTACCCCATAATTTTCACTGACAGCACTTTTTGCCTCAAAAGTGACCGTAATTTATATAATTAGGTCTTATACTTAATTTTACTCACTAATACATGCTTAATTACTTAATTACATGTAATTTACTAATTAATTAAGCTAGGGTTATTATAATAAGCTCTCTCAAGATTGCCTATGAAATGAGATGCATAAAATTTTGTACGACAAGTTTTTTGAATGCATTTTGGAGAGTTATACAATCTGATAATAACTGATCTGCATGTCTTCTTGGCAGACCAACAAAATTTGGTTTCATGTGGATGCTGCTTATGCTGGAAGTGCTTGTATATGTCCGGAGTACCGTCACCACATTGATGGTGTTGAAGAAGTGGACTCATTTAACATGAATGCACATAAATGGTTCCTGACAAACTTTGACTGTTCACTACTTTGGGTTAAGGTATCCATAATTCACTCTTTTTCCCCCGCATTCTCACTTCTGCATCTTTATTTGCAACATTTCAATTTATTTATTTTTGGTAATCATAACAAGGTAACATTTCAATTTACTTCATAAACAAGAATGTACAAAAGTGAAATTGATGATTTGTTGATGACAGGACAGGAGTGCTCTAATTCAGTCACTGTCTACAAATCCTGAATATCTGAAAAACAAGGTAAGTTTCAATTTGCATGCTTGTGGTTTGTATTGAAGTTTTGCAGTGAGATGTTTCCAAACTTTTCAATCACAATGTTTTTTTTTTTTTTTTATTGTGTGTGTGTGTGATGTGTTTGTGTGTGTGGAGCTTTCATAGTTTTGTTGTTAAACTACATTCCTTTCAGTCAAGGATATTATGGCATTCGAGTATTACATTAAATTTATAAGTAGGTTCTTTAGACTTAAAGAAATTTGAAGAATATGAATGGTTATTCACTGTACAGGAGAAAGGAATATTCTGCTTTGAGGGAACCCAAAATGATAAATAAATATGTATCAAGGTACAAATTTTTTTATCATATGGTACTACAGAACTACCTTATATTGTAATATTGTATACCATCAAAAAAGAAACAAAGAAGAGAGGAAGATAAAAGAGAGTAACAAAATTGCAGCACCTGCAATGTCCTTCCTCTTTTTCCTCTTCCTACGGAGAAATGCTTCAAATGCAATGAGTAATAAGTATTGAATACTTACTGGATGACCAAGAAATGAACCTGGAGGAATTTGTTTTCCAATTCCTTTTCTTTTATATCTCTCTTAAGTTAGTTTCCTCCACCTTTGTTGGATGAAGGTCTTATCTTGAGGGGACAGAGTCATTTGGGACATATTTCTTAAACAAGAAGCACGTGATTTGAAATGTTGCAGCTACTGTTATTAAGTCTTTATATAATTGTCTGCTTATGCTATTGAATTGAATTTGCAGGCCTCTCAAGGAAACATGGTCATAGATTACAAAGATTGGCAAATTCCTCTCGGACGTCGCTTTCGGTGTGTCTTTGGAAGCTTTCCTTTAGAAACACTTGTCATTGCTTTCCATTAACATTTATAGTTTGTGTGTGGTATTGAAATCTCTCCCCCTCTCAACTTGAATTATTTCGTAGATAGAGAATTTACATGCATATCCACTTCTGCTCATACAAAAATCAGCATTATTCATGCATTGGGGCTCCTAACCCATTTATGTGATCATGATTTGTAATGTTTATTGGATTTTATGGATTTGTATGTCTACCCTTTTCTTTCTTTCTTTCTTCCCTTCCCCATTTAAGAGGTAATGAGAACCTCAGATTTCATAACTTTTATTAGATCCTTAGCATTATCTAAAAATTTATATAAACAAAGATTTATAATTACCAGCAGATGTGTAACATTGCTTATTACCTACCCTGGTTTCCAGATCATTAAAACTGTGGATGGTGTTGCGACTCTATGGATTGGAAGGTCTGCGAAGTCATGTAAGAAACCATATTGAGATGGCTGCTTATTTTGAGGAGCTTGTTGGTCAAGACACAAGATTCAAGGTATTATTCCTTCTAGGAAAAACTTCATTTCTTAATTTAATTGTATAATGCCAACATATGGACAATTAACCTGAGTTTTGCTCTATATAATTTGTCTTGAAGTCAAAACATGCCAATTATGAAAGTCTTATCTCAATTACTTTATTTAATTATCTGCTTATGCCATGAAAAATATTGCAACAAAATATGTACACAGGTCAGTGCACCTCGCACATTCTCTTTAGTTTGTTTTCGGCTTTTGCCTCCTCCCAACTCCGAAGATCATGGCAATAAGCTAAATCATGATCTGCTTGCCTCAGTAAATTCAACAGGAAGTGTTTTCATAACACACACGGTATGCATAAGTTATCTTCTTCTTTCTTTCTTTCTTTTCAGCTATGATTCTTTTCCTTGATGATAACCAATATGTGCAGGTTCTATCAGGTGAGTATATTCTCCGTTTTGCAGTTGGAGCACCATTGACAGAAATGAGGCATGTCAATGTGGCGTGGCAGATTTTGCAAGATAAAGCTACTGCTCTACTTGAGAGTTCATAGTGTGAATATGCTCTCAGCATCAACCACTCTTTTTTGTGCTTTATTTGGATATGCTATGATAGATGGAGTGGAGTGGAGTAAAATACATCAAGTTTTCATATTATTATTTAGATATTTAATAGTGGAATAGAAAGAGAAAAAAATCATTCCATTATTTAAAAAATTGATGGAACAATAAAATTTATGAATTTATTGTTTTTATATTGCCATTATCTCAAATACCTAAAATTTATTATTCTATAAAAATATTATAGAAATTACAAAAGGTAAAGTTATTTATATAAGATTGCAATTTACACACCATGAAATATTCGAATCTATTGAATATTAACAAAGAAAAAAAGAGAGTATGAAATGTAAGCCGTGGCAGAATAAGAAGTTGACGGCAACTTCAGCGCATGGCCGCAAGAAGAAGGCAAATTTATTGTGTTTCTTAGAAATATGTAATTTCATTATTCTCCTAATCTGGAAAGAAACAAAATTGGTATATGAAATGAAATGTTAATAAATTGAAATGGATGACCCCCAATTCCAGCATTTTTAACATATCCAAAGAATGATATCCTGTACTATTTCATTGCCATAACTTACAAATGGCTTACATGTGAAAGACAACATGGAGACGTCAAATGACCAATTTTTAACTGGATTTTGACCAAATCCAGTTCTAGTCTGGTATGGTGGTGGAACGAAATCAAATACCAAGCTAGTTCAAAAAAATGAAGCAAGGAACAAGCATAGTATTTATGATTGACAATAGTATTAGGGATAAATTATTCTATCTACCTTTTTTTTTATGCATATCTTATCAATCACTTCCAACACCGTTAGATCAGAATATCAACTAATTTTTTATTATTTCTCTTTCCTTTTGAGATTCTGATCCAACAATATTAGAGGGTAGTAAGTAAAGTAGGCATAAAAAAAAAGTAGATCGAATAATCTATCTCGTAATATTAATAGATGATTCTAATTTGAAGATAGTGAATGAAAGTCAGAAGAAATTATTTACAGTAAAACAATGCTACTCATACAACTCTATATCCCCACCTTTGATCAAATGAAACAATTATTTGAATCCGGGAATCTAGCAACATAATGGACACCCCAATAATAATAATAATGGACGAGTTGATATTTATCTAATTGATCTCCTTCTTTTTCCTCCCAGCTGTATACTCCGATACTCCATCTTAAGACATGTTGCATACTTATAATGATATTTGGCTTTGGTTCTGGATCCATTTGTGCTGATTCGGGAAAGTAACATTTTGCCTAGTAAGTTCGATAAGATCTCATACTCATCCATTTCATTATCTCGAATAGGCCAAAACCGAATACTGTCCGTTGTAGATTCTACAACTTGTCGTCTTTCCTTGTTCTTGTTCACAATCGGTATCGTTTTGGCAATCAAACAGAATGATTAAGATCTTCTAAGACCTCACTAAACATATATTCATATTCAGTGCTTTAGCCCAAATGCTATAAGTTGGATTGGATTCTTATTCATATTGTCTAAAAATATCTTGTTTCTTATTTAGCTGCATCTAAAAAATGGTTTTGATTCAAAATATATTCGTTTGTTCCGATGAGATAATTCCAATACGATTTTTTTTTTTTAATACGAGTTTTCCAACAATACACTTTAAGTCGTTAATAGATTATGCATGTGATAAGTTGAAAATCACATTAATAGGTCAAATACCTTGTTTGAATTAAAAATTGTAAGGTATTAAATTTATGAATCTTTCTATTTATAAACCTTTCCAACAATTGTTTTTTAATATGAGCATGACATATATTTTCAGAGTGTTACGGGAGTAGGTATGTCTTTAGGTGACATTAATCATAAAGAGGTAAGTGAAATAAATATAATATTTTTTTTTTTTCAATTTTAGCGATAGATCTGAGTCATCAACATTCTTAGAGTACAAAAAGTATTTTATTGAGCATGAATTAATGTCACACATTATTTAAGTCAGAGGACACTTTGGCAGTACTGCTCAAGCGCAAACGGGACATATCCTCCCCAAAAAATTTTACTTTTATTTTTATTTTTTTTAGATAACTGGGGATACAAAAATTAATTCAATCTCAAACACTATTTGAACTTTTAAATAATCATGGCGATTATCATGTCCATATAATTACTATGTTTAATCCAAGTACAACATGTTTATATTGACGGCTCAAAAATTGAAACCCAAACATCTCTCCACGGGAAGCGATTCATACAGATTGACTCACAAAAATTGACAATTTTGTTTTTTTAAATAAATATTAAAAATATAAAAAAAAAATTAAATAAAATATATGGATGATGTGTTGTGTCAAAATCATAAAAAATTTGCAGGTTGACAAGCAAATTAATCCGTGACACGACATGATAATAATTTGTATTATTTATCCAAATCCATACATGATCCATTTTATCACACAAAACGACATAACTCATAATTTAATGTGTCATGTTATAGGTTGATCCGTGTGCTATGACACATTTTGCCATCCTTTGCTTCCAAATTTGAAAATAGTAGCAACTTTTAATATCATTATTACAAAAGAATTCTTTTTATATTATAATGAGAGTCTAGTAATGGATTTATTGAAAATTATCATTGTTAAGCATAAAATAATTAATGTTTTTTAGTGAAGAAAATAAAATAAAGTTAGAATGAATAATAAGACTCTTTCCCTCTCAAAATTGTAATTAATATCGTAAGCGCACATCTTCTCTGTCTCTGTCTCGCTGTGTTTCTCAGTTAATTGAGTAGACTATGATACACCGATACTTCAAAAAACTTATGTATCATATCCAACACTTTTCGATACTACGACACTCCCCAATACTCCAACACATATTACAGAAACTCAAAAGAGATTCAAAAGTTGCATTGCATTATTTTTTTGTTTCAACTATTAAATTCGTTAGATTACAATTACTATTTTATTAAGTTTAATATAAATATTTGTGATATTTTATGTTTCTTTATAAAATTGATGAGTATTATAAGTAAATGTTAAATTATTAAATATTATATATATATATATATATATATTATATAAATTAAAAATATTATTTAATACTAGAACGTATTCTAATATATCAAATTCTAATATTTTTTTAAATTAACATATTAAAATCTCATGTAGTGTCTCATTTTGCGTGTTGATGTGGCAGGAACATAGCAAGCCAAGGACAGTCGCTCTGCGTTTTGTAGCTTAGCATTTACTCTTCAGGGCAATTTCATGATGACTGACTGTGTTTGATTTTCTTCACTGAAGTGTGTCTGTCAGTGTTTTGCGGTTTATGTTTTGAACTGTGTCTGTCTGCACCTTTTTTTGTTTGTTTGCAATTATAAATAACTCAATAATTGAGTCAAGCATTTCAGCGTCATTTGCCATTTCGAGTGTTTCACAAAAATACCAGTAACGACAACGTTTTTGAAACCCCGCATTAAGATACCTAGCTTAGCTGGCTTTCCGTGCAATTGATTTTTTTATGTTAAAATATCATACAAAAAGGTTATGTAAATTTACCCTCCCCGCACTCCGGATTAGTCTCATAGCCGGCTCAAAGAGTCGAAGCTCATGAGGATACCGGAGGGAGCCAACTCATCTCAAAGAGATAATTAGAGTTAGGTAACTCCAAAAAAAAAAAAAAAAGTTATGTAAATTTTTTGTGTCTATTTCTTTGTTTATTAACGTTGATTGAATTTCACCAAAAAAATAAAAACAAAAATGTTATATGAAAGGATCTATTCCCAACTTTGCGCGTCTCATCTCTTTCTTTTAGGGTGGCTTTCACCGCACCATCAAATTTTGTTTGGATTAGACCATATTTTCCTATTCTACAACAAAATTAATTTAATTATTAAGGGAGGGGGCTACTAGGAATGCAGAGATAACCTTTTTTTTAGTATAGCTGGCATGCACTACCTCATCATTGTAAATTGTTTTATTATAATATTTTTAGAGATTAGTATTTTTTTTTAAATCCCCATTTAGTTATTTTGTCCAAATCAAAATCTCTCTCAATTTCAGAGCTTTTATCATAAAATTTGCAGAGATTTCGTAGGACACTAAACTTATATATAATTCACAGAATAAATTGATGCATAGTATCATTGTTAATAATAAAAAAAAAAGTCGAGACTAACACGATTCCTGATTACTTTTTTTAATCATAAAAATAACACTAGATGTAGATTTTTTTTTTTTTTTTTCTTTCAGGAAAGGGTTTAGTTAACGTTTGTCTTAAGAAAAAGTCCATATATCTACAAAGCAGTGGATTTAGTAATTTTTATCGTTCTAAATTTAATTTAATAACAATTTTTTTTTTGGTAACATTAATTTAATAACAATTTATTTAAGTATGATATATATATATAAGAGAAATGATTTTTGACTTCAGTGTAAGATTAAAAGTTTTACTTTTTATCTCAATTGTTAATTTTTGTTTATCTGAAAACTGTAATTTATTAACATTTATAATTAATTAATGGGTATAACTTAATTAATGAACATAATAATAATTGAATTGTGCTTTTAAGAAAGGATAAAATTTTGAATATTATAAATATCACTTGTGAATATAGCTTAAACGTCTTCTGTATAGATTAGTTGGTAAATATAGGTTGAACGTATTTTTCTATATCTTTTGAGAAGGTTTTGATGAGAAAGAGGTGTGGGTCCCTTGAAAAAATAAAGATAAAAAAAAATTAAAAGTGTGAGTCTCACTTGTGTCTATCTCTCTTAAAAAGACCAAAATTTGTATTCTTTAGGAGAAGAACACACACTTTTCCAATATATATTTTATGTCTATCTTTTTTTTATGTATACTCTACTTACTTATCTTCAAAATCATTATATCATAATTTCTACTAATCTTCACCCTTTCTGTTTCCTTTTAAGATTCTGATTTAACACCGATAAAAAAAATTTAGGTAGAGTAGACAAGTAAAAAGTAGGCATAATGTCATATTCCTATGTATATATGATTTAATATTTCCATATTGTAGGAGACAAAAATTATTTTTTACACACACATAATAATATGTGATATTCATATTTTTTTCTCTTTTCTTCTCTCTATACTTTTACATATATGCATAAGAAATATTATACCCATATTTTATCTTTTACAACATAAGAAACATTATACCCATATATATATATGGGTTTTATTAGTGTTATGTAACATAATATAATTGTTGTTTCCAACTCTCACATCAAAAGGGAGAGAGAAAGTAGAATGATGAAAGAGAAAGAAAAATATGTGGACCCCACCTCTTTAATGTGTGTGTAGGAAAGTAAAATTATATTATGTTAAATAATAAACATAAAACCCAATATATATATATATATATATATATATATATATATATAAATAAATGCTATTAAACGAGTCGTATTATTTTATTTTATATTTTATGTTTAGAAGGTGATACTCAATACTTCAAATACTGATAGAATATTACAAAACGGACGTTATAAAACTTTTGCAAGTCATGTAAAATAGCACGTGTTGCGGGTTATACACTGATATAGAATATGAGATATGACACGATATGATATTCTGACATGTTAATTTTTAAAAATGTTAGATTTTGATACGTTATGACACATTTTGATATTAAATAATATTTTTAATTTATGTAGTGTATATTATATTTAATATTCAATAATTTAACAAAAAAATAAACTAAATTTATAATACTCATTAGTTTTGCAAAGAAACATTAGATGTCTTAAATATTAATATTAAATTCAATAAAATGGTAATTATAATCTAACGAATCCAATAGTTGGAACTAAAAATGTAATGTAACATTTGAACTCTTTTTTGAGTCTCTGTAACGCGTGTTGAAGTGTTGAATCAGAAAATGTCGAAAAGTGTACAAGTCAGAACTTTTGAAATGTCAATGCATTATAAGCTACTTGATATGCCAAATTTCATTTTCATGATAATTAAGTTCCATTTATAGAAGCGAGAAAAGAAAATTGTGATTCACTGTTTCTGTATTTCCTGTGGATGATGTTTTTCTTGTTGATTCTAATTGAAAATGTGTTTTTAGCAATATAATGTACGCAAAATAATGATGTAATTTTAAATAAAGTCACATGAATTCTGCACAAAAGTTTTGTAAGGAAAAAATAAATAAAGTATTTCACTGATATTTTCTTTTGTATTTACTCATTTTTTTCTTGTCTATTTTTTAATACTTCACAAAGTAGTATGATTTTTGTGCTCGAATAATTTATGGGCAATAGTTGTAGGAGCCAGGAGAAAAGTTTGCCACCTGCGAGAAAAAAATCATATTTAAAAAAAAATGCTAAACAATTTTTGATGTATTTATAACATGATAATACTCTTCTCCAACAACATAATAAAAATATTTCACATAATTTATCTATGTATTTGAAAATACAATTTTTAAATGATTACTTATTTAATAATTGTTTGAAAAATAATATAAACAAATAAAAATTAAAAACATCTTATCATTGTGTACTTTTATATATTTGCTAATTCAAGTTACCAAAAGAAATAAAAGTTAACTTAGGTAATTTTGATTTTGGGGCGTTTGATAGAAGGTAATTTTTTACACCCAGTGATATGATTTTAAAGAATATGGTGGGAATGTAAATTTTTCAAAAATGTTATCAAAAAATTATTTAGTAGATCAAAATATTATCGAAAATATTGACTCAAAATTACTGAGTCTATGTTTTCTTAATTGTCAAATATTACTAGAAATGTGAGATAATTTTACAAAATTACCCTTTATAATTCAAAAAATTTGCAATTTAAAATAAAAATAAAAATTTTGCACAATCATCCAACACTGACGGGATGCTATCAAAAGTGTTCATCTTGAATTTCTCTCCTTCCAACGTTTCATCTTGAACTTCATCGTGAAAGAGAAACAGTGAAAATACATGGGAGATAGTTGTCGGGATGCTTCCGGTATTGAAAAGTACAAATTAATCTTCTCTGCATTGATATTTCATAGTAAAATTTTGTTTCGTGAGATTGCTCTGGATGTATACAGGATATGGCAGCATTCAGAAAACGTGATATTGATTAGGTGGAATCAGAGGGGTGTGTCTAGAGTTCCATAGGAAGCTAAAGGGGAATTTCAGGGTACTTCGTAGTATAAATTGGACAAAAATGGAAATATTTATGAATACAAAGTCGATAATTTAGCGTTCAATTTTTTAAAGAGCATAATATCATTTTTTCATAACTTGATCTCAAAAGTTTTTCCTCATGAAAAAGATTTTTGTAAAGAATCTTGGGATACACCACCCTAAAAGCTAGTTCAAGGGGTGGGACGTGGGAGTGCCAAACCTTATAAATTCCACATTAGTTGCACATACAACCAATGTGAGACTATATATCTCAACACGCTCCCTCACACAAGAGCCCATTAGGCTTGAAGAGTGGACAATGCAACAGACCCAGCCTACCTGTGCTAAGAAACGCCACAAGAGAAAGTGGGGGGCGGCGAAGCTCTGATACCATGTAAAGAACCTTGAGACACACCACCCCAAAAAGCCCAAGGGATGGGGGGCGGCGAAGCTCAAGGGATGGGAGTGCCCAAAGCCTTATAAACTCCACATTAGTTGCACATACAACCAATGTGGGACTATATATCTCAACAATTTTGGCCTAAGAAAGTGAAGAAAACGAAAGGAAAATGTAGAAAGATACGAAGAGATAAAGAGAGCAACAAAGAAGAGAGCACAGACATTATTGTCCGAAAAAGTAGTTAATATTTTCCCACCATATAGAATACCACCTGTGGGTGGTATTTTTCGCTGGAAATTTTATTCACATTTTAAAATTCCGAAAAAGCAAGAAATTCAGAAAATTTTTCCCACTCCCTTATACCAAACTTGAGTATCTCATTCTCAACCTAAATTTTTTGGGACTTTAAATTTTATCCCTCGATCAAGCACTCTTAGAAAATTTCACTTTTACAGCAAGTGTCACAAATTTTTGCAGCGTGTCACTTAACCTGGCCTTTTCCTTTTAAAGCAACTTTCCTTGTTATTATTATTATTATTCATTTTTCTGGTTGAACTTCAAAATCAAATGCAATGCGGGTCCACAAAATCCTCATAAAAGTAAATAAAGACCTTACAACCACACGTACCAGGATAAAATCCACCTAGAACAAGTTCATTCATCGAACTTCCTAACCCAATTCTTTTCCAAGAAAACCAGTTTTTCTAGTAGAAACAGCCAATGCAGGAGATAAGGTAGTATATCTCATTTCATCTTATTTTAATTTTCAATCCATGTTCCATAAAAAACCAAATTGCCTCGGTAACGAAGCTCTCGCTAGTTCTTTATCTTAATTCTGGCATCTCATTGCTAAGTTTTGTTTGCTTTTAATTATTAAAAATCTTATTTATTATATATCAATTTGATGAAGAAAGTGGTCCTGACTCCTGAGTGCTCCTCTTTAACAAACATGTTTTGGAGAGCCCCAAATCCTCAAAAACCATATCATTATCGTTATGGCATCACACTCCGACTCCTCACTGTCATATCATTCATTCAAATCCCACTCATACACACATGTAAAATGTAAACAAACAAAAACCCCTCTCCTCTCATTTTCATAGATATTTTTGAAGAAATATTATTCTCCTTTCACATAAGATAACTTCTCTCATGCTCTCTCACTTCAATTTTTTACTCCACACTTTTTTTTTGTAATGGTGGAACCCACCTATTTTCTCTCTACAACATAAGATAATTATCTTATGTGAAATAAAAATAATAGAGCCCTATTTTAGTTCCAAAATCTCTATACAAATATATTAGATGCTCTCATTTGTTAAAGCATTGAATAATGGAGAGTCCACTCACTAATCCAATATTTCATTGTGGACTTAGTGAGTGACACTCCCTAATGATCTCATCACACATGAGTCATCAACCCACATTCCCACATATCCAACAAATATGCCTTGTATTAAGTTAAAAGATAATATTCCCCTTGCATCAAGATATGGAAAAAAAATTCTCCACATTCTCTCCTACTTTCCATACTTGTTTGTCACGTACGCCACATGGGAGAACTTACATTATAAATAGCATGGTAAATGAACCAAACTCTCTTCATTCTATTAAAGCATAAAAGGGAAATTCATCAATCACCCCTTTTTAGTAGCTGCTAAACACACAGCAACCAAGTTAAAAAAGAGAAAGAAAAAAATAATAACAGAACATTGAAGAGAGAATAAGAGAGAGAGAGAGATTGAACACACTCTCTCTTTCTGTCTCTTTGTTCTACATTGTTATAGTTATAGCTGCCAAAAGGGTTGCTCATCATCTTTGTCGGTCTACGTATCGGTGAATATCCAAAGGTTGTAGCTTGTGTAGCAGCTACACATAATCTTGATCACAAGCGATTTCAGAAAACAACCCAGGTTAGTTTTTTTTATCTTCTTACAGATTTTTGATTTCTAGCTTAACTCTTTGTCCCTTTCTGTTCTTGGATTACATGACACAACTCATAGGAACTGCAAGGTCTTTATCTATATATATATATATATCTCTCTCTCTCTCTCTCTCTCTGCTTCTTCTTCGTGTTCCGTGTTGGTGAAAATAACTTTGTTTTTATGTGCAATGTGTCTGCAGAATCTAACTCCAGATGGTGAAATGCCCTTGCTTGCACGCTTTGATGATCTCACTCGCTTAGCTTCTCTTCTTCTTATTTCTAACCGACTCACTTGTTCTGAATCAGCGTTTTCATCTGCACAACTTTCTCAGCAATGGACTTCAATGAAATCTCAGCTCCAATGTTGTTTTCTTCAGGATCGTTGAATACCCTTTTGAGTTCGATCCTTGGATTGCCCGTGTTGGAACTGGTGGCAATCTGTGCCAACTTGACTCTGCTTCTTCTGTTTCTCTTTATTTTCTCGGCCAGGAAGATACTTGTGTGTCTGTGGGGAAGAGTTCGATTCGGTAAGGACAATACTGAAGACAATGCCACCTCAATTCGTGCTAATGTTGATGGTGGAATACATGACGTTCGAATAGGTACATGGTTTAAGTTGTCAGTGTTGTCTTGTTTCTATGTTCTGTTGGTGCAAGTTTTGGTGTTGGGGTTTGATGGGGTTGCTTTGATTACCGGAGGGACTAAAGGGAAGCCTGTGGATTTGTCTCTTCTTTCTGTGCCACTTGCACAGGGTTTAACTTGGGTTGTATTAAGCTTCTCGGCTTTGCATTGCAAATTCAAGGTTTCTGACAAGTTTCCAATTTTGTTGAGAGTTTCTTGGTTTTTGTTATTTGTTATTTGTTTGTGTACTTTATATGTTGATGGGAGAGGGTTTTGGATGGAAGGTTCCAAGCACCTACGTTCTCACGTTGTGGCTAATGTTGCTGTTACCCCTGCTCTTGCCTTCTTGTGTATTGCTGCAATTAGGGGTGTTACTGGTATACAAGTTTGTAGGAACTCTGAGGATCAACAGCCATTACTTGTTGAAGAAGAACCGGGGTGTCTCAAGGTTACTCCTTATAGTGATGCTGGAGTTTTTAGCTTGGTCACTCTGTCTTGGCTGAACCCAATTCTTTCCATTGGTGCAAAGAGACCACTTGAGCTTAAGGACATTCCCCTTGTTGCACCAAAAGATCGAGCCAAGACCAATTATAAGGTTTTGAATTCAAATTGGGAGAGGTTGAAGGCTGAAAACCCTTCTATTCAGCCTTCATTAGCTAGGGCAATTCTCCAGTCATTCTGGAAGGAGGCAGCTTGTAATGCCATCTTTGCTGGCGTCACTACTCTTGTCTCATATGTGGGTCCATACATGATAAGTTACTTCGTTGATTACTTGGTTGGTAAAGAGACTTTCCCTCATGAAGGGTATGTCCTTGCAGGGATATTCTTTGTTGCAAAGCTTGTGGAGACCTTGACAACTAGGCAGTGGTATCTAGGAGTGGACATCTTGGGTATGCATGTTAGGTCAGCTCTAACAGCAATGGTATATCATAAGGGTCTCAGATTATCAAGCATGGCCAAGCAAAATCACACAAGTGGGGAGATTGTTAACTACATGGCTGTTGATGTTCAGAGGGTTGGGGACTACTCTTGGTATTTTCATGACATGTGGATGCTCCCTCTGCAGATTGTCCTTGCCCTTGCAATTTTGTATAAGAATGTTGGAATTGCTTCCATTGCAACACTGATTGCTACAATCATTTCCATTGTTGCCACTGTTCCTGTGGCTAGGATCCAGGAAGATTATCAAGACAAATTAATGGCTGCTAAGGATGAAAGAATGAGAAAAACATCCGAGTGCCTGAGGAATATGAGGACTCTCAAGCTGCAAGCTTGGGAGGACAGATATCGAATAAAATTGGAGGAGATGCGTGGAATAGAGTTCAAGTGGCTTCGGAAAGCCCTCTATTCTCAGGCTTTCATAACTTTCATATTCTGGAGCTCCCCTATATTTGTTTCAGCAGTCACTTTTGCTACTTCCATATTGTTGGGTGGTCAACTGACTGCAGGTGGTGTACTTTCTGCTTTAGCTACTTTCAGGATCCTCCAAGAACCTTTGAGAAATTTCCCGGACTTGGTGTCAACAATGGCTCAGACAAAGGTTTCTCTTGATCGAATATCTGATTTCTTGCTGCAAGAAGAATTACAGGAAGATGCAACTATTGTTTTGCCACAAGGCATTTCTAACATTGCTGTAGAAATTAAGGATGGTGTCTTCTGTTGGGACCCTTCTTTATCTTCTAGGCTTACTCTATCAGGGATACATGTCAAAGTTGAAAAAGGGATGCGTGTGGCTGTTTGCGGTATGGTTGGTTCAGGGAAATCAAGTTTTCTTTCTTGCATCCTTGGAGAGATTCCTAAGCTTTCTGGTGAAGTATGTTGGTGTACTTAAGCTATTAACTCCATATTTAGTATTTTTATAGCTGTCTATTGGCATTTTCAATTATATTTTGATTTGTAACAGTTTTTACAAGATGCATTGGATTATTTTGCAGGTAAGAGTATGTGGCTCTGCTGCATATGTCTCCCAGTCCGCATGGATACAATCAGGAACTATAGAAGAAAATATCCTCTTCGGAAGCCGAATGGACAAAGCAAAGTACAAGAATGTTCTTCATGCTTGTTCACTGAAAAAGGACCTAGAACATTTCTCACATGGTGATCAGACAATTATTGGTGATAGAGGTATAAACCTGAGTGGTGGACAGAGGCAGCGGGTTCAGCTAGCCCGAGCACTCTATCAAGATGCTGATATTTATCTGCTTGATGATCCCTTCAGTGCAGTTGATGCCCACACTGGATCAGAATTGTTTAGGGTTAGTTTTCCTTAGCATATAGTTGATGTTACTGTTTAAATGGATTGGATTTGGCTTAATCTATGACATGGAACTGCAGGAGTATATATTGACAGCACTAGCAGATAAAACAGTCATTTTTGTGACCCATCAAGTTGAATTTCTTCCTGCTGCTGATTTGATACTGGTATGGCTGTAAGGGTTTTTCTTGCACATTCATGCATTTATGCAATATGAGGCCAAGTTAATGATTGATTACATTTCATTTCACATTTGAGAATTGTATATTCCCTACATGATACATGATCCAGGGTTTCAGATGCCCTCTGTTATTTCAATGTAATGTTTCTCTCCTCATATCATGTTCGCTTTATTAGTTCTTTCTTTTTATATTACGTACCGTCTGCCTTTAGGTTCATTAGGTGTATCAAGTTTCAAGATCATACTTGTGCAATAAGTTTATGATTTGAATTATTTTTATTGATATTTTACATCATATTCAATATGAAAACAAAGTAGATTTTTACAATTATATTACTACCTGACAGATACAATGAGGAAACATTTAGAAAACAACACAGACGAGTCAGTTTAAAGGTTCATTATATGAAACTAAAGCTCCTATAAGCATATCAACATGGGATGTTGCCAGCTGTTAAAATAAATCATCAAGGAAAATTGATGATATCCTTGTCAAAATATCAATTATTTATCTTTGTCTGTAAAGATATTTAATTCTTCCACGGACTAGGAAAATCCTTTTCACTTGTTTCATGTTATATGGTTTTTTTTTTACAAAGTTTTTTAAGTTCTGAAAGAATTTAAGAGTATTATCATGCACTTGATATGATACCCAAGAAAGATGCTTTTAGATACCTGGGTTCATTCTGTAAAAAGGCGGAGAGATTGATGAGGATATAAGTCATAGAATTAGAGCAGGGGGGATGAAATGGTGTAGTACTTCTGGGTTTTTGTGTGACTGCAAAATTTCCCTTAAGCTAAAAGGAAAATTCTATAGAATAACAGTAAGACCTACAATGTTATATGGAGTTGAATGTTGGCCAGTACATAGACAACATGAACATAAAATGGGAGTAGCAAAGATGAGGATGTTAAGGTGGATTTGTGGTTATACGAGGATGGATAGGATAAGAAATGAAGAAATTCGATGTAAGGTAAGAGTACTACCGGTGGCTGAAAAGATGAGAGAACATAGATTGAGGTGGTTTGGGAACGTAATGAGAAGGCCCCTGGATGCTCTCATAAGAACAAAAGTTTGTTACCAAGAGCTCGACACAAAGAAAGGTAGAGGTAGACCGAAACTTACTTGGGGGAAGATAGTAAAACAAGACTTAATGGAGTGGGATATAGATTGACGGACAGTGTGCCTTAGGACGGAATGGAGAAAAACTATTAGCATGGTGGAGGATTAGACCCGTTGTTATTCTTATGTTCCAGATGGTCCATTTTTAGTCCTTTTTCTCTTCATCTCCTCCCTCTTCTTCTTTTCCCCTTCTTTTCCTTTATCTCTTTTCCCCTTTCCCCATCTTCTTCTTCCTCTTTTTATTTTTTTATTTTCATTTTCATTTTTTTATTTTTATTTTTTTCCTCCCCTTTTATTTTTACTTTCATATATATATATATATATATATATTTTTATTTTTTATTTTTACCTTTCGTACCTTTTATTTGGGTTCATCTACCACCGACCCCAATTAGTTTTGAATAAAGGTATTGTTGATGTTGATATGAAGTGAAGATGATTTTCTCTAATTTATTTCCATTTCTGAAGGTTCTTAAAGAAGGCTGCATCATACAGGCAGGAAAGTATGATGATCTTTTAGGAGCAGGAACAGATTTTAAAACTCTAGTTTCAGCTCACCATGAAGCCATAGAGGCTATGGATATCCCTTCTCACTCCTCTGAAGATTCGGATGAAAATTTATCCTTGGATGCACCTGTTATGACCAGTAAGAAATCCATTTGTTCTGCAAACGATATTGACAGTTTGGCAAAGGAAGTGCAAGATGGATCATCGGGTTCAGATAAAAAAGCAATTAAGGATAAGAAGAAAGCAAAAAGATCAAGAAAAAAACAGCTTGTTCAGGAAGAGGAGAGGGTTAGAGGTAGAGTCAGCATGAAGGTGTATTTGTCATACATGGCAGCAGCATATAAAGGCTTATTGATTCCACTCATAATAATTGCACAGGCATTATTTCAGTTCCTTCAGATTGCTAGTAATTGGTGGATGGCTTGGGCTAACCCTCAAACAGAAGGAGACCAGCCCAAAGTAACTCCCATGGTTCTTCTTCTTGTTTACATGGCCCTTGCTTTTGGCAGTTCATGGTTTATATTTGTAAGGGCTGCTCTGGTGGCTACATTTGGTCTTGCAGCTGCACAGAAGCTATTTTTCAAGATGCTTAGAAGTGTTTTCAATGCACCAATGTCTTTCTTTGACTCTACACCAGCTGGAAGGATCTTGAATCGGGTAAGTTTTCTTCTTCTTTTATTTGTTATTTTTATTCACCTGTCTCTCCCTGCATGGTGTAGATAATAATAATGTGTCATCTGTATCCCACCAGGTATCAGTTGACCAAAGTGTTGTGGATCTTGACATTCCTTTTAGACTTGGTGGGTTTGCTTCAACAACTATACAGCTTATTGGTATTGTTAGTGTAATGACAGAAGTTACATGGCAAGTTTTGCTCTTAGTTGTCCCAATGGCCGTTGCTTGTTTGTGGATGCAGGTAATTAGAGATCTTCCTGCTTAAAATCTTTCAAACTACTTTTCAAAAATACTTATGCAAGAAAAAACTGTTGTGAAAAAAGGAGAGAATTTTATTCAAGAGGGAAACATTGATAAAGGACTAGTAATCTTCCAATCACATTTCATTTTTGTTTTGATGTTTGCCTATCACCCTGTGTTTTGATTTCTTGAATTGTTCTAATCATCAACCAATTCCATGGCAGAAATACTACATGGCTTCCTCAAGAGAACTGGTCCGTATTGTAAGTATCCAGAAGTCTCCAATTATACATCTTTTTGGTGAATCAATTGCTGGAGCTTCCACCATCAGAGGTTTTGGACAAGAAAAAAGGTTCATGAAGCGGAACCTCTATCTTCTTGATTGTTATGCACGACCATTCTTCTGCAGTCTTGCTGCTATTGAGTGGCTCTGCCTGCGGATGGAGTTATTGTCAACCTTTGTATTTGCTTTCTGCATGGTGTTACTTGTGAGCTTTCCCCATGGAAGTATAGACCCAAGTAAGTACTTAGTTTTGATAACTTGTTTCATCTCCTTATATTCAAAATGTGATGTGTCTTATCCCGGAGGTTTAAGTTATATAGTTCTATTAGAAGTTAGTTTCACTTTCACAAGTGATGGTTGGTCATGATTCAGGATGCAATAATGAAACAATATTCTGTTGCTTATCGCTATTACATTTTCTGTATAGGCATGGCTGGACTTGCTGTGACATATGGCCTGAATTTAAATGCACGCCTATCGCGGTGGATACTTAGCTTTTGCAAACTTGAAAATAAAATAATATCTATCGAAAGAATTTATCAGTACAGCCAAATTCCTAGTGAGGCACCAGCAATTATTGAAGATTCTCGCCCTCCATCCTCATGGCCTGAAAATGGGACAATCAGAATAATTGATTTGAAGGTACCAAGCTCAGTTGCACATTTATGTATTTTTTATTTATTTTTTCATATATTGATTGTTTATATCTTTTTAGAGGTGGAATAATTTAGGATGTTGCTTGGTGTACAACATTTAGTATCTAATCCAAGCTGTTGGCCATGTTACATGCATTAAAATATCCTTATTATAACTTTTCTAGATACTGCACCTCTACTTCTCTCACCTTTACTCTATCTCTCTTGAAGGTCCGTTACAAGGAGAATCTTCCTTTGGTGCTTCATGGAGTATCCTGCACATTTCCTGGTGGGAAGAACATTGGAATAGTTGGACGTACTGGTAGCGGCAAATCTACCTTGATTCAAGCATTATTCCGATTGGTCGAACCATCAAGTGGGAGTATCCTTATAGACAACATTAATATTTCAGAGATTGGCCTTCATGACCTACGAAGCCATCTCAGTATCATACCACAAGATCCAACCTTATTTGAAGGGACCATTCGAGGCAATCTTGATCCTCTTGAGGAGCACTCAGATAAAGAGATTTGGGAGGTTAGTTTTACTTGCATAGCTCCATGTATTTTATTACACAGTTTGTGTTATCTTTAAGAGAAATGCCTATGAAGTTTACTTATATATATGGATGTTAGAAAAAGAAAAATCCTATTATCTTCAGGTCTTCCATGCTTTATAGTGACTGTAACACCCCGTTCTAGAACCGGTTTGTTAACATCGCATTATGATATTAAGTGCAGTTACAATCACATTGGCTCAATTAAAAATCCGGATAAATTTTTCTTTTTAAAACGACGCCGAATTTAAAATATCCAATTGCGTGATCATAACCATATTACTTTGCGGAATCAGATAAACCAAGCTTAACATCATGTTCTTATTCCATTTTTAAACCATTAATTTACTTCTTATTTATTTCCCAACTTCTACTATATTGTAGATCTCTTCGTTAGCTACTCGTGGTTTCAAACCGCTCCTCATTTGGAGCTCTGTAGCTCAAGTTATGACAATTTTACTAACTCAGGTGTATGCTGAAAAACTACGCGGGCAGGGCACTTAAGCGCGCTCACAGACAGAGGGAATTTACATTTTTTAGCCACCAAGGGCGCTTAAACTCGCTCCAGGGCGCTTAAGCCCCCATTTTGGGCGCTAAAGCCCCAGGCGACAGAGAGCTTTTGGTCTTCACAGGTGCATCAGGGCGCTTAAGCCCCCTCATGGGCGCTTAAGCCTCCTGAGCAGGCTTAAGCCTATCAGAGCCTGGCCCTGGACCGGTGTGTACAGCGGGGACGCTGTATTCCCAGTGGAGGAGGATGTAATGTCCCACATCAGTTGGAGAGGGGAACGAAGCATGCCTTATAAGGGTGTGGATACCTCTTCTAGTGTGAGGCCTTTTGTGGGGTGTCCCAAGAAACAAAACCGTGAGCTCGACGGTGCTTGTGCGCGGGGCAAAGCGGACAATATCATGCTACAGGGTTTGGGGCTGTTACAGTGACAGCCAAATTTATTATTATCTTTTAATAGAAAAGGAAATATTGATAATAAGGCAGGAAGAAAGAACAAGAAAGAGGTCTAGATATCTAAACATGGAGAACAAACAGATTGCATATACTAAAAAGGGGTGGAAAAAAGAAAAATGAGAACATGAAGTCAATATAAAGAAAAGTCTCTAATACAATAGAAGGAACCTATGCAATAAACTTCCTCTAACGTCTCCACCAAAAACAAACCAAGCATAGATTCCACTATCATCGTTTTAACAAACTTCCTCCAAATATGTAACTTGCCCAAATGAAGGGAAAAAACCCACCAACCCTCCATCTGAGCTAAATTGGGTGTTCAAAAATTACTTGGAACTAATTAAAAGTGGGTTGAAAGATTGTTTGTTTACACTGATAGATCGTACTTTGTGTTTAGATGCCTACTTTCCAACTCCAATAAACACAACAAATGGGTGGGCCTCTTTGTATCTTTGCTCCTAAGCATGAACTCATAGTATATGAAAACAGACCTATAGTCCTCGGTTTTTGAAAATTATGGCTATTCGAATAAAAGGTTGTACACTAAGTGATTGTTGGGTTTTAATTTTACACAGGCACTAGATAAGTCTCAGCTTGGAGAGATTATACGTAATAAAAGACAAAAGCTTGATACACCAGGTAGGCAACCAGAATTTTTTGGAAAATACACAGTATCTTTCCTTCCCCATCCCTTAACCAGAATTTTTTGGAAAATACACAGTATCTTTCCTTCCCCATCCCTTAATAAAAAGAAAAGTGTTTGAAGTCACAAGTAGCTATCTTAACACGTATTTGCAAACCTACAGTTCATGAAAATGGAGATAACTGGAGCGTAGGACAGCGGCAACTTGTTTCTCTGGGCCGAGCTCTACTGAAGCAGTCAAAAATACTTGTACTTGATGAAGCAACGGCATCAGTTGATGCTGCCACTGATAATCTTATCCAGAAAATTATTAGAGAGGAGTTCAAAGACTGCACTGTGTGCACCATTGCACATCGTATTCCTACTGTCATTGACAGTGATCTAGTTCTAGTCCTCAGTGATGGTGTGTATAGCAACACTTCTGTCCTTTTTTTTATTTTTTTTCTCCTTTTATACATCCACAGGCTTTGCATAATGGTTCACTAGTTTGTGGTTCTGAAGTTTATGTTTTATACTTTTGCAGGTCGAGTTGCAGAGTTTGACACTCCTTCAAGACTATTAGAGGATAAGTCATCCATGTTTCTGAAGTTGGTGACTGAGTATTCATCACGGTCAAGTGGTGGTATACCAGATCTTTAGATCAGATGGAATGTACAAAAACCTTCAGAGTTAGTGGTGGCTGGAGCTTAAAGACAGTTCAAAAGTTGAAACAGTGAGTGATGCCTCACTTGCATGCCACTGCTGCATTGGGCGCATGCATAGACAAAAAGAAGAAAGGAAGGAACTGAGGTGCGTGTCTCTTCATCAATCAAGCACTCCATAGGGGGAGAAAATTAGTTTGGTTCTTCCCCTTGAACAAAATTGAGGAATATACACATAGTTAACATGCTTTGTAACACAAAATAAGATGACCTGTGATTACAGGAAAGTAAATATGGGGGACTGAATCAGGTTCAATAATGTGCTAGAAAGTAGTTTGTAGTATGAGGCACTAGGCTTTTTCTTAGTTAGAGAAGTGTAGAGTTAAAAGTAGTCTTGTGTATTCCACAATTTCTTGTAGCAAGTTCAGAATTGAGCCATTGCAAGGTCAGATTCCAGCACCCCCCACCCCCACCACAAAAATAATAATAAAAATAAATAATAAAAAATTGATGTTGGTTATCTTTTCTCTTCCCCAAAGTTAATTAATTTTCTTATGTTTCCTATTGTTATTATGAAGTGTAATTAACTATGTTAATTATCAAGATACAAGAGGTATTGATTGTAATCCTTGTGTCAACTACACGAAGTAGATTTCATTTATATATTAAACCAAATAAGAGATACAAAGACATATACACAATGTGGGACTTCTATGACACTATTTACAACAACACTCCCCCTCAAGTTGGAGCATATAGATCGTATGCACCAGGCTTGTTACATATCTGATCTATCCTAGGTCCTCTCAAAGACTTGGTGAATACATCGGTTAATTGATCATTTGAGTTGACAAAACGAGTGACTATATCTCCTGAGAGAACCTTTTCTTTAATGAAAAGACAATCTATCTCAATGTGCTTAGTCCTTTCATGAAACACTGGATTTGAAGCAATATGCAAAGCAGCTTGATTATCACAAATGAGATATGTTGGGCCAGTGTCTCCAAGCTTGAGTTCCTTCAGTAGTTGTTTTAACCAGATGAGTTCACAGGTAGCTGTGGCCATGGAGCGATATTCTGCTTCAGCACTTGATCTAGCAACTACACTTTGTTTCTTACTTCTCCAGGAAATCAAGTTATCTCCAACGAATACACAATACCCAGAGGTGGATCTTCTATCAATGGGAGAACCTGCCCAATCAGCATTTGAGTATCCCACAACTCTGGTATAACCTTTGTTTTCATAGAGAAGACCTTTGCCAGGAACAGTCTTGATGTACTTGAGGATACGGATTACTGCATTCCAGTGATCTTCACAAGGAGAATTCAAGAACTGACTTACTACACTGACTGCAAAGGAAATGTCTGGTCAAGTAACTGTGAGATAGTTCAGTTTCTCAACCAATCTTCTATATCTTTCTGGAATATCCATAGCATTCAACAGAGCTGTCTCCTAAAAAATATCCATAGCATATTTTCTCTGTGATAGTACAATGCCATCTTTGGATTGGGCCACTTCCAACCCTAAGAAATATCAGAGTCTTCCAAGGTCCTTTGTTTGAAAATGATGGCAGAGATGTTTTATCTGAGTTATGCCATGATTATCATTACCTGTAATGACAATATCATCAACATATACCACCAAAAAAATAGAACCTGAATCAGAGTGTCTATAAAAGACTGAGTGATCAGCCTCACTCCGAGTCATGCCAAACTGCTGAACAATAATGCTAAACTTTCCAAACCAAGCCCGAGGAGACTGCTTGAGACCATATAAGGATTTGCGGAGACGACAGACTAGGTTAGACTCCCCCTGAGCAACAAACCCAGGAGGTTGCTCCATATAAACCTCTTCCTGCAGATCACTATAGAGGAAAGCATTCTTTATGTCCAGCTGATACATAGGCCAGTGATGAATGGCTGCCATAGTAAGAAAGAGGCGAACAGAAGTCATTTTCGTCACGGGAGAAAACGTGTCTCCGTAGTCAAGGCTAAATACCTGAGTATAACCTTTAGCCACCAATCGGGCCTTGAGATGGTCCACCTGACCATCAGGACCAACTTTGACTGTGTATATCCATCGACAGCCAACAACAGACTTCCCAGAGGGAAGGGAAACCAGATCTCAGGTACCACTGCTCTGAAGTGCACACATCTCATCAATCATGGCCTGTCGCCATCCAGAATGAGATAACGCCTCACCTGTAGTCTTAGGAACAGATACAGAAGAAAGAGAAGAGAGACAAGCAAAATGGGATGGTGAAAGACGATGATAACTCAGATTTATTAAATACCTAGGAGGGGGACGAGAATCACGAGTACCTTTCCGAGTGCAATGGGTAAATCAATGTCAGACGGAAGGACCGGAGCTGCCGGAGGAGATGATGACGGAAGTGAGCCCACAGAAGCCTCAGTAACAATAGGGGCATGGTCTTGGGGAACAGGTGGACGTTGCCGACGATGATAAACCTGGACGGAGGGAACAGGGGCGGGGACATCTAAAGAAGGAGGTGGTGAAGGGATATATTGAACTGAAACAGGGGGTAAAGGTAGCTGAGTAGCAACAAAGTCACTGGAAAAGGAGGAGGAGTCAAAGAATGAGATAGACTCAAAGAAAGTAACATCCGCCGAGACAAAGTAATGACGAAGACTGGGAGAGTAACAACGATAACCCTTTTGTGAGCGAGGGTAACCCGGGAAAATACATTTATGTGACTTAGCAGATAACTTGTCAAGACCAGGGCTGAGATTATGGACAAAACAAGTAGAACCAAAGACGTGAGGAGTGAGTGGATACAAAGGTTGATGGGGAAACAACACAGAATGTGGTACCTGGTTATTAAGTACGGAGGAAGGCATGCGATTAATGAGATAACAAGTTGTGAGGACATCATCGCCCCAATACTGGAAGGGGATATGACTATGCAACAAAAGTGTCTGAATAGTTTCAATGAGGTGACAGTTCTTGCGTTCAGCAACCCCATTTTGTTGAGGGGTGTGTGAACATGATGTTTTGTGAAGGATGCCATGAGATGTAAAGAAAGTTTGAAACTGATGAGACAAATATTCACAAGCATTATCACTTCGAAAAATGCGAATCGAAACACCAAATTGAGTAAAGATTTCATTAAAGAACTTGTTAAATATGGAAAACAATTCAGACCGATTTTTCATTAAAAATAATCAAGTACATCGAGAATAATCATCAATAAAAGTTACAAAATATCTGTACCCCATAGTGGAAATGGTACGACTAAGACCCAAATATCTGAATGAACTAAAGCAAAAGGAGACGAAGACCGACGATTGACACGATCGGGAAACGAACTACGAGTGTGCTTCCCTAACTGACATGACTCACAAGACAAACTAGATAAATTTGAGAAACGTGGGACCATCTTCTGGAGCTTAGCAAGACTCGGATGTCCCAACTGAGCGTGGATAGTAAGCGGAGAATCCACAACAAAGCACACTGGGACAGAAGTCGAAAGCTGATAAAGGCCGTTGGACTCAGATCCGACGCCAAGTGTCCTCCTCGAGCTCCGATCCTGCAAAATGACAGACTTTTAGTGAAGGAAATAATACAGTCAAGGGATTGAGTCAAGCGACTAATGGAAATAAGGTTGAAAAGAGAATTAGGAACATAAAGCACATTGTTAATGGGAATAGAAGGAAAAAGGAGAACAGTGACAATCTCTTGGGACTGAACCAGTGATCCATTAGCCATAGTGATACTGGGCAGGGGACCAGACGTACAGAGAGAGGTGAATAAAAACTTATTACCAGAAATATGGTCAAATGCACCAGAATCGAGAATCCATGGACCAAGAGAGCGCGAGTGAGAAAAATCAGCAAAGGAATTACCCGTGTGTGCACCAGAGACAGTGGTACCAGGAGGACGCTTCTCTTTATACCATTGCAAGGAGTCAGTGAGAATAGACGGAGGTGGCTGTTGTCCAGCAATCAAAGCAGAGTCCAAGGCAGGAGCAACACTCTGAGCAAAATTAGCGGAGCGAGGAGGGCGACCGTGAAGATCCCAGCAACGATCAATAGTATGGCCCGGCTTGTTGCAATGAGTGCAGAGAAGGCGTCCCTTAGAGGGTTTTTGTCCACGTGTATAACCCTTGGAAACAAGTGCAGAAGGGTCAATTGAAGAGGGAGCAGATACTGCAGGCTCCATAGCAGACTTAGGTGGAATTCGAAGCAACATAGACCGAACAGAGTCCAGGGATGGAACAGTAGTAGAGTCCAAGATCTGATCCCGGTTGACAGAGTACTTCGGGGGAAAGCCATAAAGAGCCATGAGCATGAAGAATGTGCTGCGTTGCTCAAGTTCCTTAGCAGGGTCTGTAGCAGGCGGCAAAAGTTCATTGAAATCATGAAGGAGACCCTGAACTTTTTCCAAATAAGCAGACATAGAGACATCAAAGTGTTGAGCAGCAATAACAGTTACCAAATTTTGACAAACACCGTAGAGTCGCTGAGTGTCATTGGTATAAAGTGACTTGGCCTGACGCCAAACAGACTCACAAGTGACGTGAGCACGGAAGATCTGCTTCAATGACGGGTGGATGGTAGACTTGATGATGCTACATAACTGAGCATCAACCTTTTTCCATCGAGGGCGTTCATCTACCGAGATGGACTCAGCCTTAATAATGAGATGGTCAGCATAATCCTGTCCATCAAGCCAGAGTCGGAGATCAAAAGCCCAAGAATCATAATTGGAGCCATCCAACTTGTCGACGTGCAGCGGAACATTAACATAATTAGTAAAAACAGGCGTGTCATTCCTTTGAGAACCCTTGGATGCATCGTGGGGTGACGAATCAGCCATAGGTCACCTGAAACAAAGATGAACAGTAATGGAAAGCAAAGAAACACGCGTGAATAGTAACCAACAAGGGAAAAGATGTCGTGGGAAGCCGTAACGAAGTCAAAACCACAAAGTGAGGACAGATCCAGGTGCGCAAGGAGAAGACGAGGTGAATCGTGGTGGTCCGACGGCAAGCCGGAGCTGCACGCGCCTCCACGCGCCACTGCAAGAAAACGAGCTGCAGCCGCTATCTCACGCGCGTGAGAGCGCGTGGCTTAGAATCTGGAGGTGGGTCCTAGACAGAGAGGACTGCCTCGTCGTGGCGATCAGAACGGTGGGTGGTTCGCCGGAAAAGTCGTCGGAGATGGCGGTCAACGACGGCGGGCGGCGGTCAACGGTGGTTCCTGACAGCGACAATGATCAGATAGGTCCTTAGACGATATATGGAAGCCGGAAACTGGCAGATATGACTGTTTTCAGAAAAAAAAAAAAAAAAATTTACTCAGCGGACAGGGGTCCACCGGAAAGACGCGGATTAGGATTCCTCTTGTTAGGCTCTAGATACCATGTTAATTATCAAGATAAAAGAGGTATTGATTGTAATCCTTGTGTCAACTACACGAAGGAGATTTCATTTATATATTAAACCAAATAAGAGATACAAAGACATATACACAATGTGGGACTTCTATGACACTATTTACAACAACAAACTGTTATTCACAGTATCATCGGTGGCTAGTGAAAAATCCTTTGCAATATTAAGGGCAAATTCCAGTGTGCAAAGCCTTTCCAATTTTACAATGAGGGTTAATTATATACACAAAACATGAACACATAATATTCGGGTCACAAAAGAATAACCTTATCCCTTACTGCTATGCTCTTAATCCTTTGCAATATGATGCAACAAAATTTTTTTCTTACTAAACTGCCATGAAAATAACATGAACCCTATTGAATTAGCACTTAAAAGGTTGAAATGCTGCCTATGCTTCCGGAGGTGGCAAGGCGGGGTGGACTCTCCCTGCCCTGCCTACAAACGAATCAGTCTGACCCGTCATGCTTTTGATAATTGGCTAAGAAAGCCAGACTGCCTTTTTTTTTTCTTTAAAGGTTTTTTTTTCCCTTTTTTATTTTTTAATTATAACTTTAACCTTTTTTTAGTTTGATTAAGCATGCTGGTAAGTAAATTTCTATAACAATTTTTATGAACAGTTGAATGAGCCCCGACAGCAGTGTATCCTTTTTATTACTCTTAAGCGATAAGCAATAAGCAATATATATATATATATATATATATATATATATATATATATATATATATATATATATATATATAGCTTTATTCACATTTCACTGTTCGAGATTCATCACTAACCATCTAATTCAACAAGAAGTTGACTCGTGACCCTATCACACTGAAACACCATCACCTTCCTTCCCACGAGTTACAGCAGCGAGACTATCTATTTCATCAAAAAATATGATTGATGGAGCCCCATTTTGCCACTTGTAGCTTCCATTAGAAAATTTTCAAGCCACTGCTAAAATCACAGAAGGACTAAGTGAGAGCTGACTGGCAAATAACAGATATGATTGTAGCTACAAACTCTTTATGGCACATCAATACACAGCAAATTAGTACAACCTAAAAAATTTCCTTTACATTTCTAAGTTTGGGTCACTCGGGCCATCCGAACAAATTTTATTTGATGACAAGTCTATAAATGTCAGATTATAGGAATTGCATTCAAATTTATTTTTTTTTGGGGGGGGGGGGGGGGGGGGGGGGGGGGGTGAATGAATTGCATTCAATTTTATTAATAAATATCTATTGAAAAAAAAAAAAATTCACAAGGACACAAACATGTTCAATGTTTATAAAAGTGTTCACTGATTAGATTTGATTGCATTTTAAGGGGGGAAATTAACCTATCCCATTTTAATCGGCTTTCTATATTATCATTCGATTGCTATGCTTTACAATATAAAATTGATTCGATTAAGGGTCCGTTTGGATGAGCTTTTTTTTCTTCCAAAAGTTGCTTTTTTTCAAGAAAAAAAGCATTTTTCACTTTAAGTTCGTTTGAATGTTTGCTTTTAAAAAAAACATAAGTCATAAAAAAAATCAAAAACTACTTTTTTTATAAGCTAAAAATTTTAACTTCTAAAAAAAGCAGAAGTCAAAAGTCAAATATTTTTTTCAAAAACTAAATATTTTTATAAAAATATAAATAGATTTAACTTTTGTAAAAAACACTTTTAAAATAAGGAAGAAATAAAAGTTACTTTTTCTAGAAGGCGAAACAAATGGGTGAATTGAATCATTTTATTTTATTTGTTAATTTATTAAAAATATACAAATTCATTATAGTTCATTAAAATCCAAATCCAAATACAAGTACACTGATTGACAAAGTTTACTTATATCCAGTGACCAAGTCCAAGGTTGGAAGCTACTTCTGGGATTTTTGCCTGTTTGCTGTTCCTAACTCGCAAGAGATACAGTATAGTTCAAAATTCTGAAATGTGAATGTTGGCCAATTTTGCTATTATAAGAATATTTTAAAATTGTTAGAAATTTTGGGGTGTTATACACCGCCTTAAATTACAACACATGGACTTACCTAATTGTGTTTACACCAGTTTTCTTGGCAGCTTCTTCATGGGCGTAATGTAAATGCCTGTGTTGTAATTCAGAAGTATTTCTCCATGCATATAGCTCGGAAGAGTTACAAAGTATTAATCCCGTCAAGGTATTGGGTTATTGATTCAACTAATGGGTCATTAGTTGAATCGCATAATCCGGTAATTATATATAAATTTATATTTTATATTAAAAAATTATAAACATATTCAAATAGTTGAAAAAAATAATATAAATTCTAAAAATTTTAATGTAAAAAATAAAAAATAAAAAATATATATTATTGTCCAATAAATGATCAAACAAACATATAATGCTTGTGATACTAGAGGTGGCAATATGGGTTGAGCCCGGCGGGTCAACCCGCCAACCCGTCAAAATGGGGCGGGTTGGGTTAAGGTTTTCAACCCACCAACCCGCCTAGAAGTTGGTCAAAACGGGTTCAACCCGCCGGGTTATATATATATATAAATATTTTTTTTTTTTTTTTTACAATTAGGTAGTATTTCATTATTCCTTAAATTTTTGTGATATCCAAATTTTGTTTTTATATTAGTACTTCGTAGAAAAAATAAAGAATAACAATTTTATTTTTGACAAATATTATCTATATATAAATTCCTAAAGAATGTTTGACAAATATTAGTATACATTTAAGATTGAGACTAAAAAAATATAGAGAAGTGTGAAATAAAATAAAATAATATTAGAAAAATTCATAAAATATAATTTATTTTTGAATTTTAATTAATTTATTTTTAATTGGCGGGTTGGTGGGTTGACTCGCCAACCCACCATAAAATGGGGTGGGTTCATTTTTCCAACCCATAATTTTTGGCGGGTCAACCCGCCCCGCCCCGTTTTTGGCGGGTTGGTGGCGGGGCGGGGCGGGTCGCGGCGGGTCAACCCAAATTGCTACCCCTATGTGATACTGGTGTTTCAGGTTCAGTAAATGACATCTCTAATTATAAATCAAATCAAAATTATTCTCTGCGTAGTGCATAACTGAGATAATATTAGTATTGTATGTACATAACTTATGTAAGTCAATAAGTAATACATCACTTAAATATGTCAATTATGATTTTTTTTTTTGAAACATTGTTTTTAAAATAAATCAGGCTTAGTCACCGGTTAACCAACCGGGTTACCGATTCTCACCAAAACCGACCGGGTCGCATCGGGTCAGTTACTTAACCGATTCAATATTGTAAAGAACCTTGGGATACACCACCTCAAAAGTTAGCTCAATGGGTGGGAGTGCCCAAGACCTTATAAACTCCACATTAGTTGCACATACAACCAATGTGGGACTATATATCTCAACACGCCCCCTCACACGAGAGCCCATTGAGCTTGAAGAGTGGACAAGCCACAAGAGAAAGTGAAGGGCGGCGAGGCTCTGATACCATGTAAAGAACCTTGAGATACACCACCCCAAAAGCTAACTCAAAGGGTGAGAGTGCTCAAGGCCTTATAAACTCCACACTGATTGCTCATACAACCAATGTGAGACTATATATCTCAACAAATATAATAACCTCACCGAGTTTCGAGTCGACCCAGCTGATCTACTCCGATTTTTACAAAATCAAAGAGTTGTATATCTCTGCTGCTAAAATTGAGAGAGCAAAATTGCTCGACAAGAATAGCATAAGCTTAAGATGATAAATTCCCTTTTTAACCCCTTAATCCTTTTAAAAGACTGTCTAGATGGTAAATTGTTGGGTTTGCTCTTTTACTAAAGCCCAAATGGGTTATTAGTATGAGAAGAGCCCAAGGAACCTAGAGCCCAATGAGCTAGGGTTTCTTAGAACCCATATAAATAGTACCTCTTAAGTCATCAGCCTCTAAGGTCCTTTTTGTGAGAAAGAGGCAAGCTCTGAATCTAATCAGTGCCCACACACTTCCCCTTCCTCCTCGAGAGATAGTTTGGAAGATTTGCCACAGTCCAGCTTCAAGGAGGTTGTTCGTGCTGCGGCGCTGAGGTGAGCTGTTCGTGAAGAGGAATCCTACAAGGGAAGATTCTACACGAGACCTGCGCACCGAGAGGTAATTGTGAAACAAGGATGATTCGGTAAGCATACCAATGTACTAGGTCCTAAACCGCTTCCGCATAAATCTAAGATTTCCTACAATTGGTATCAGAGCCTTGGCTCTACATTGGTATGTGAATCTAGTTTCACTATTCATGTAATTAGTTTTGCTTCTTGAAATGTGGCACCTAGGGTTCTAGGATTATGGTATGAATCTAGCATGTGTATTTTATAATTCATTTTCTTAAAAGTTTAAATTGTAATCGGTAAAAATGCTTTAATCCATGGTTAGGGTCTCTCGTGTATTTCTCGATTTGTAACAAGGAGGCTAATCC